GCATAGACTAGCCGTTCTTACGTGTGGGATCAAAATTCTTTCAATTGTGGCAAATGCACATGCTCACGAGGCCGGAGGCCGAAGGCCGAGTGTCTATATCTCCCGATAAAGCACTCCTGCTCGTTTATTAAACACTACTTAGAAAACGCAACCAATGCGAGGGGAAGTCTCATACATTTTGTTCACCGTTGCAGTCATTAACTTACTGTTTTAACTTAAGTTTTTCCTTTTGAAGTTCCTACTCATTCGCTTTAAATATTAAATCATGGCACATAAAGAAAATATTCTAATTCTAATTTATAAATAAATTCATATTCAGGAATCGGGATTTCCAATCAAAAAGTATTGTTTAACGTACAAAAAGATATTTACAGTCGAACTGTACAATAATTTATACATATATTAATAATTAAGCCTTGCTTATTGTGGAAAATCTAGAATCTAGAAAATTCTATTTATAAATCTACATGGGATAAAACCCTTTTTTTCTGTCAATTTCAWCAACATTCTTTTTAAATTTCATTAACATTTCTACATTTCTTTTTTTGAAAAAGATTTAGAAAACATAATCGTTTTACATTATAATGTGAGAATAGCCTTTCGGATCCATTTAATTCTTAGATAAAAAAAATATACTGATCTTTGTTTGTTTGCCAACTTGGTATTGGCAATTTCACATGTTAATGCAAAACTTCTCGATCAAATGATCAATGCCATTAGATTATTAGCACCATTTGGTGCTGTGCACTCTTGTTTATTAGTCATTGTATGACTTTTCTTTGACTGTAGTTTTAGGTATTATTCAGCCATCGTGATAAATGTAAACTACAAAACCCAAACATTTCGCAATGCGAAACTACAAAACAACCCAAAAATCTGGTTCGTCGTTTATAACTTACTTACTACTAAACGTTTTAATTAGATGTCAAAGTTGAGACTCTTTGGGCGTGGTTTAGTTGTTCCTTCTTTGTTACGTCGCTGTACATTGTCGTTGTTGTTTGCTGCCTTGTTGTCCGGTTCCTCCGTAATGGCAGGCATTAAATCATCAAGGCTCGACGACAAATTTCCCAATGAAAACCGTTTATCTTTTAGGGATCTGTTCAGCTTTTCTAGTGCTTTCACCTAAAACAAAAAACATCTACTTTTAGTTTTGTGGAACAGGAGACAATAATTGTCGTCAGAAATCAAATATTTGGATCTAGAAAGAGATGGAGCTTTACAGTAAGAGAAAGTAATTAATAGGACAATAGGACAAATAGGACTCGTCCCCAGTCACAACTCAATAGGACTCGTTCACAAATTTGGCAGTGCATCATGGGAAGGAAGAGAGTTGTTTTTCCTCCCTCCCTTTATATATAGCTAAATACAAGAGAGACGACTAGTGACGAGTCATGAGAATACAGTATAACAGACAGTAGGTAGACTGATGGACAGACAGACAGATCTAATCAGGAACCCATTCAACACCGAAGGTCTAAAGACAAGAACTGTACTTGACATGCAAATTAGATATCATAAGCAAACAGTACGACAGAAAACGGCAAATCATGGTAGGCCAGTTAGTGTGGTATCGGCTAACACAGACATGCAAAATTAACAGACAGACATCCAAGTTAGTGTTTAAAAACAAAGCAGGAGGATAGGCTCCTTGGGGGGTGGGGGGGGGGGGGGGGGGGGGGGGGGGGGGGGGACGAAAACGTTTCAAGGCCAAACCCAGATGGCCTGATCATGAGACTATATGGGTCTATATGTATAGGATAATGGATGAGCTCAGAGCCTTAAGCCGAGGAGCGAGGCCATTTAATACACACTCTCATTGTTTTCAAAGGAAAACCACTTACTAGCAATTCCCAAAGGATTAATTAACATAACTATTGTTCTCGTCAGTACCAATTCTAACAATGTCTTTTATAACTCAAGAAAAAGTTAAATTACTTTCATGTTCCGAATCTGACATCGGTAGTCACTTGGCATACAGGGTTAGGTGTAGGATTTGTAAGGGGAAGGTTGCGGTTCGAATCTGGTTGATTTTCAAAGAAAATTTAACATTTCATATCTACCAACAAAGTTAGAAATAAGTGAAATTGGAGTATATTTCATTAAGTATTCAAGAAAAATAATAACCTCTAGCTTCCATAATAACCCCCTGTTTCAACCCAGTGACTGCAATAATAACCTATGAATAATTAGATCAGGCGCGGATCAAGGAGAGGTGAAAAGGGTGAATCCCCTCCCCCCATTTTTCTAAGGCCTTCTTTCTTTCTTTTTTCTCTTATCCCTCAAATATTGAAATATTATTTGATCTCTCCAATGACTGATTAATTCTTCCAACCATTTGCCGAGCATTTATGGAACTCCATCCAAGAAGGATGATGGAACAATCACTTTTGGGGCAGTAAATAGCCTAGATGACATTAGTGGGTGTAATGTATATTCGTGTGTACACGGTAAACTCTTATTGTTGTTGATAAATACTAGTTTTAAGGGTGAGAGATTCTTTGTTTCAAGTGAACATTGCGTACTAAATCCCGCTTAAATTTGTTCAATAAAGAGTTACTAAAAAGGCCCACAAAACGCTGCAAATCGCATGGAATGCCCACGCCGAACCCCCCCTAGGGGCTCCGCGACCTGTAGATACCTACATTATCGGAAATAATGACTACTTCAAAACAATGAGAGTGTGTATTAATACAGCAGACAGCTAACAGTATTAACGCAGAAAGACATCAATGTTTCATAGAGGCACTGGGACACTACACATAGACAAACAAGCCAAGAAAATATTCGTGTCAGAGAGAAATTTATAATTATTTGTGGAAGCTTTTAGCTTAAAGTTTAGAGCATATTTATGCAGAGCAATAACAAACATCAACATAACGTTGGACTAAAAAATAAATTATTTATCAGATTTACAAGCACTCTTTAAAGCTTTAACTTTTTTTTAAATCATTCAAAAGAGCAAATTATATACCATTAACAATACCATTACCAGGCTAGCCAGCGAAATGTTACCCATTAGATGATATTTGTCAGTTATAATATGTGTGCATGTAGAACGATATTTTTTGGTAAATACTGATTAAGCCAAGCTAAAATAAAATTGATTACCACTAATACATTGATAATTAGTATTTAGAAACTAACATACCACTAGAGTGCGCGCACTAAATGCGTGAAATATAAATACTACGAAATAGGTGATAAATTATACAAATTCCTTTGTTTCCTATTGTATAATCAACACTATTTAGTAGTAATTAGTACTATTTGTTTCACGCTTTAAGTGCGAGCACTCTATCAATGTATTTGTTGGTCATTTTATCTTATTTGGCTAAAGTTAACTTTTTTATTCTTTTAAATGACATACCTTAAAGTCTTTGCCAGAAAATAATGGCAAATTTCCATGATGAAAACCATGCAGACTTGAAAAGATTTTAATAAACAGCAAATTTTAAATATGTCCTTTATTTTTAAACAATTTTAATTCTCAATATACTAATTATTTATACATTGCAAAATGGTTTTAAGCACAAGAGATTTATAAAAAGTGTTTAGTTCTATATAAATTAAGACTATAACGTTAGACTGACCCCATTATCAGGGATTTATTGCTTTCGTTCAATTAACTGTCAAGTACTTTATTTTAAGTGTTTAGACATTTATTTTGTTCTCAAAGAAATTTACTTTCACTCTTGATTTATATTTTAATATAAAATATTTAAGTATATAAGAAATTGCAATTTCAAAAATTTATAATTTTTACCACAAGTTAAAAATTGTGAAAATAGTTGAAATAGAAAATATATTAAATTTAGTTGTAACCTTAATATTCCTTATCATAAGCTTTTATCCAAAAATATGCTGGTGTTGTATAATTGTTCAGTTTCATAAAGAGAAATTTGAAATAGAATAAGACAAATTATTCATACTTGCCCGACATTATTTTTCAAAAATAAGAGCAAAAGGGATCTTCAGAAGATCTGCACTGCAGATTGGCTGTGTTCAGGTTGTTGTTGTAAATAATCAACAACAGGGCAACCATACAACCCCAAACATACATTGAGTTTACACCTTGTTTTAAAACTGTTAACGCTTTTATTAAAATAGATTTATTTCAAGTACAAAATAGTTATTTATATTTAATAATAATTTATATTATATTTAATAACACTAATCTAGTAGTTTAATGTAAAAAAGATTAATGAACAAAATGAATGGTTTAAATTCAATGCTGGCATTTATTTTCAAAATATTTAGGTTTTAAAATAAATATAAAAAATAATTTTAAGAGTTAGTATTTTAGAGTTTTAGTGTTTACTTCAAGCCAAATCTCATGGGTGGTTTAGCTTGTGGTTTTTTAGAAGAAAGAGTTGGACTGGAATGCCGTAGTCTTGCAACAGAGTCCCTACTATTCCTACCAGATATAACATTCCTCATTTGATTTGAGGGGTCAATATGGTTATTTAAACTAGAACAAGAAAATGCTTGACTTTTCCTTAAAGCGCTACTATCTCTATCCCTGGGGGATATCTGATACCTACTAGATGTGGTCTTATGGGATACATTGGGGACAGAAACCCAAGATGATATCTTTGAACTACTTTTGGGAACTTTTGAGTTAATATTCGGAGCCGACCCTTGAAGTCTAGAAGTATTGCAGTTATTTAAGGATGTTGTTGATTCATGTTTGTCTCTGGGTGAATATTTGTTTCTGGTTGTTTTGATGGCTTTATAGCTGTATGGAGACACATAGTCTTTGTTATACTGTAAGGTTCTTTTAGGGGAGTTATTGTTATTGCAAGGCCTTGATTTGTCTACACTTCTTTGTGGTGCTATAAGGTTCTTTAGTGAGGGGTGCCTTCTGGGGGCCTTATTTTGTTGGTTCCTGGGAGAAGGGCTGCTCTTTGCTGGGGCGCTTCTTTGCATGCTAATGCTCTGCTTCCCTGCATTATCTTTGGGATGCTAAGTATTGAAAAAAATAAAGCATTTTTATTAATATTTTTTAACTTTAATTCTTAAAGCATCCTAAAATCTTTGAACTATTATTTATATCTTAATATCATCCATTCTTCTTATCTTATCTTCTTTTTGAATCATTCTTTTAGAAGGTTGCAATTTTCTATTGCAATTTATCAAAATCAATACTAAGTACTTTGGCAATTAGCACTATGCAACAATTATTACTCATCTATTTCATTAATCCATCTAATTTTTTTAAAAATAGAAAACTATACAAATTTTACAACAAATCTCTAACTTATGTTTTAAAAACATTTTTTTGAGCAAGCAATTTTCCTTGAGGTGTTAAAAGCATATTAAATATGTGTCTATATTTAATGCAGACTCYCGTAAAAAGCTGTATTAAAATGAGTGTTTAATTTCTAAAAGCCACGTCAACATTGTTTAGAAATTCTAAAAAACACATTATTTTTTAATGCTTTTAAGTTTTTATCTCTCAGACATTTTAAGACAAAATTACCTTCAGCAGAACAAATGGTTAGCTTAACTAATACAGAATTGATTTTATGACCCAGTAAAGTACTAAATGCAGTTATCACAATTACAGCACATGAATGCATAACAATGAATCACTTATCATTAAACAATTAAATGCTGCAAATACATTACTGACATTTACATTTACTGTCACAACACAAAAACATCCCAACACCTCAAAGAATGTTATGGAAACAGCCCAATGTTGTGAAAGTACATAAAAAATTCTCCATTTCATATAATTACAACTACTGCAATTATTGACATTATAGAAAAAGTTAAAATGGATGTCAGAGCATCCACCTAACGTATGATATGTATAACCCACATATCTATGAGTGCATGACAGCATATATGTTGGCTCTTTGAATGATGCCTCAGCATTATCAGGTTGATGAATGCAGTAACAATAACATGGTATGCTACTGGATGTTTTTTYTAATGACTTATAATACCTTGTCCTGAATAGAGCGACTCTAATCTATAATATTTCCCAGGCAACGGTATACTGTAGCTTAAAAAAGGTTTTGATCGTGCCAGATTTTTTGTCCAACACTGGATTATATGATGAATTGACAATTCTTGACTCCATAGTGATACCTCATAATGTACTGATAGCTTTGAAATGTCAACTTCATGTCCAACACCATTACTGGTAATAGCATTTCTTGAACTMACTGAAAACCAGCCTACTAAACTCTACTCATTGCTGTTATCTTCATCCAGAGATAACCTTTCAAAATCATGAGCTATCTCTGAGACTTTCTTGTTGCTGGTGTTCATTGAAGTACTTGTGTTGTTCTCTGCAGCTATGGTAGCTTCAAGCTGCTCAAAGCTGGATAAATTTCCAGTTGATGTTACATGGCCATCTTGCAACCCTTCTACACTGAAGATTATATCCCTCTCAATGAAGTTCTCCAGACTTACCTGTGATTTATCYATATCAGGGATAGAGTATTTCTTTACCTGTTTGCCTTCTCTGTTTTGTAAGGGAATGTCATAGGACCTTTTTCTACTTCTTTCTTTCTTCTTTTCCTGTACGCTACAACTACGAGGTCTACGAATTCCTTTTTGTCTGTGAACTTGTTTTCTTGTTCGACCAAACCTGGAAAAGCTATCATCTTCTGATCCTTTGTTTGTTTTGTCTTTGACATGTTGAGGATTCTTGAGAACCTGRCTGTAGCCTTGTCTWTCATGTTCAACTTGCCTTAACTCCAGAGCAGATCTTGACTTCTCATCCTGTTTTGATTCCTCAATACTTAGATGTTCCTTGAACTGCCTTGCTTCCTCAGACACCCTATCTTCATTTGAATAAGGAACATCATCGTAAAAGTACCTATGTTTCTCTGTTGGACTAAGTATTTCAGGACTACTTTGATACCTTTCTGGTGCATTGGACTTACAATCAGTYCTTAATGAATTCCACTCTGCTTTMAGTGGAATATCTCTGTGCTCACCTCTGTTGCACCCTCCATACACAGAAAAGTGCTGGAGGTCACTGTCTGAATGAGCTAAATCAAAAAGAAGRGATTCCTTAAAGACAACTTTACGTTTCTTAGWAGGTTTGACATATTTGCAGCAATGAGATCTAGTGCTGTAGGTTTCTTTGGACATGCTGTTTACCGTGTTGACTGCAATGGCTGCTCCTTTGAATCTTCCTTTAGCATCAAAATTCTTGTTCAATTCATTTTGTAGATTGACACGAATGTCTTCTTGATTTGCAGTATTTCCCTAACAACA